TGCCCACCACAGGGGGGTTGCCCACCACAGGGGTCGCCCGCCGCGGGGGTCAGCAGATCAGCACCTGCGTGGGATGGGACGATCGCAGGGTAACTCGGAGCTGCGCCCCCGGTATGAAGAGAAACCCGTTAATGGTGTTGGGGGATGGGAGGAGCCCCGGGGGAAGCGCTGATTCGGGCTGCTTTCCCACGTTTAGTTTAATACGAGGGGAAAAAGGTTCAAGGCGCGGGACAGACTCAGGAAATCTGGAATCTAAATAGCAAAGGTTTTTTCTGCGTTCCTGCACGACCTCTGGGCCTCGGAGGCTGGGGCAGAGGCAGAGGAACAGCTGGCTGCGGCACGAGACGCGCGAGAACTGTGGACACAGCCCTTGGCCAAACAGAGGGCACAGCCACCTCGCACAAATATTTGAAGGCTGCTAACCCCAGCAGGGCGACGGCGGTGTTTACATTCAAAGGAGGGGCTGGAACGACAAACAGGGAAATCAAGTTAAAAGAAACCCTTCCTCTAAGTACGAAGAAATCTGGGAAACAGCCACAGAATTTCACAGGGACTTGCAGAAGGGGGAACGGTCCTGCAGCGGCCTGGGAACAGGTGACGTGGGACACTGCCCGCTCTCAAGGGATGGGAACTTACCGCTGTTCTTCCTGCAGAGCCCTAGGAATAACAGGATATATGCTGAAACAAGCAAAAAACTAGTGAATATCAGGAAGGCTTTCCTCCCAGCAAGACCAGCTGTAGCTGGAAGAGTATTTTCTCATTTAAAAAGAAAATTACAAATGCTACACGGCTAATTTCTCCCTCCTCCCCAGTCCTAGAGTTTTCCACGTTAAACCTGAAGCGCAAGGGAATTTTTCCCCACACGCACACACAATTCTTCCCCCCGAAGCGTCCCCACAGAGCCTGCTCCACCAGTCAGCTCAGCAGCCGGTACCCTAATGACCGGCAGGCGGTGGGACACCGCAGACCCGCCTGAGCTCCCGCCGACGGCATCCGTGAACGAACTTACATCAAATTGCCCCATTTCCCCACAGTGTCACCCACAAACGCAGCAGTGATGGAAATCAAACCCGGGTGAATGAAGCAACGCGAAGGAGTATGCAAGGGAGGTATTTCCAGTAAGAACACATACTGAATTTCTAATATCCAATTAGGGACTCGTTATAGTTTCACTGGAAATCTAAAAACAGTTATGCAAAACTTGAAAACATCTTACGTTAAAAACAAGCCTGTGATTAACCCCAAGGACAATAAGTCCACGACAATTTTAAGCCTCCACAGCCTATACAAAAGCTGCAAACAAAGAAAAGGGAAGAAGCCTCAATTTCAGGTCACTTCAAGCTAAATTAAAACATTAGAGAACATTCAAGCTACTTGCTGTAGCATGGGCAAGCTCACAGCGATCAGAGCACACTCCCTCCTCGTCACTACAGTGCCAAGGCTGGAACCTGCCTTCATTTTCAGAAGAGCCTCTTAAAACACGCAGCGCTACAGAAGGGCTGGAACTATGGCAGACGGCAACGACTGCCAGCGATGCTCCACCAGAGCCCCTTGAAAGCTTCCCACGGAACGCAGAAATCCTACAGCTATTGAAACAGGTCGAGAACGAGAGCAGAGCCACCCGCACGTGGTGCCGACGGAGCACCTCTGCCGCCCAAAGACACCTGCCCTCGAGAGATGCCGAACTTCAGCACCCCCCCAGCCACCCTAACCGGCTGTTCCCCAAAGCCAGCGGCCAGGCGGCCGCCAGGGAAAAGCTGCGACAGCGGCAAGAAACGCTTGTTCCCTCCGAGGGCAAGACGCAGGAAAGAGATCCCGACAGCAGCGCCCGAAAGTGCCGGAGCCCAGCACCCGAAAGCGCCAGAGCCCAGCACCCGGAGCCCGCGGGGCCCCGGGGGAGCAGCCGCTGCCGCCCTCCCCTCCTGCTGCGGCTGCCGGCCGGCCG